TTCCATTTCTTGTTGGCATGCAAAACCCATTTTTTATCACCTATAACAAATCAATACAAAAATGAAAGGTGAGCATTCCTGGTTAAAAGTCTGCTGCAGATGGTAAAAAACTATGTTTGACTCTAAAGCAAAAGCTCATGAAAAACTCCAAATTCCTCTTGGCAAGTTTTTCCATTTCATATGAAATGCTTGTGGAGAGTTGAACATGGTCAAATTTCTTGTGCTTTGACATGTATCCAATTCAGTAGACTCAAAAGTTCTTCATTCAGATTGGGTTCTCTTCTAAAATGAGCCTTACTGGCTACGTCACAATCACCATTCTTTAAACTTTTTAAACCACAGCTGACATGTACGAAACTTCACTGCATCTGCATACACTGCATACATTTTTAAATGTCTTTGTTAAAGTATTATAACCATTTTAAAATTCATACATTAAGCAATGATAAATATGTTGCTTTTTAAAGTTATAATCTTCTGAAATATATAATAAATGACACACTGTCAGATAGAAGTGATGATAAACTAATTCTAGACACAGTTTCCTAGGATTCAGCCCTTGTTTTACCTTGCAAAGTTGACTCATAATTCATCATGCATAATTATTTTTCTAACGCCCAAACTGAAGTAATGATAAACTAATTCTAGAGGCAGTTTCCTAACAACCTTGGCTCTGTCTTATTTGGTCGACTTATTATTTATACTGGTGAAATATGTTATTACTTTCTGAATACCCTAATAGAAAATATAACAAACTCATTCAAGATACAGTTTCTTACCATTCAACTATGGCTTTGTCTTCATTGGTTGACTCATAATTCACAGCATCATGAAATATGTAATTACTTTCAGAACACTCTAATGAGTTAAATTGGACACAAGATTTAATATGAAGATATTTGTGTGATTTCAGTTTTATCTTGAAATCATTCTAACAAGTACAACATATTTTGTGTGCCTTGTATAAAATCAAAAACCACACACGTGAATTTTGTCCTGTAGAGATCCTCTCTTTTCTGCTTACATATCTTTGAAAAATAGAAAATGCAATGCACTTGTGCTGTTAAATGAGTAAAAACAAACATTAATAAAAGGAAAGTTAATTGAGTAATAATTACTTATACTAAGCAAATAAAAGAATATAAAAGTAAAGAGTGAAGATCAGATTTAAGAGTTGAATAAATTTAAATTTAATTCTTTTAAATATATTTAAATTCTAGAAACCGTAACATATTTCCTTAAATGTACTGAATAAAAAAAACAAAAACATATTGTTATACACTGCTTCAGATTAGATGACTTTCTGATTCACTCTACATGTTGTCTGGATGTTAATGCTAAGAAAACAAAACCTGAAATAATAAAGTCATCAACTATGCAGGGGCTCCAAGCATCACATCCATCCCACAAGACAAATCCCCTCAAAAATAACAACAGAAAATAAACCAATCATGAAAGTTGCCAGCAGAGAAAGAAAAGCATGAACAAAAGATGAGTTTAGGTGTCTTTAAAACTTGCTTTTAAGAAAGAAAGTCACTCATAAATGGCTCAGCAGAATTGCAGCAAACAGGCCAGCTGCTGCAGGCTCTTAATGTCACCACTATGACCACAGTCAACTGACTCGACACACATATCCACTCAAAACCCATCCTCCTTCAAATTGCCACACCTCACCCACATAGAGACATTCCACTTGCATCCTCTGTATTAGCAAAGATAGAATCATGGCAATGTTGTCAGCACCAGTTATCAGCACTGGGCAAGTTCTCAGTATAACCACCCAAGCTCAGTCAACTGACCCAACAAACGCATCAACACCAGGCCTTACTGACTCTACTTTTCTGTCAAAAGCCACCTCCCTTGCCCATATTACAGATATTCTGCTCACATCCTCTGAATTGGCAATATGAAGAATTTTATATTAACAATTCTTGTCTTTTCTTCCTTTTGCCTCACCGGTGGTATTTGCTTTGTTTGTTCTTTTGTGCTACTATATGCATATTTATAACAATATGCTATGACCATTTTTATTTGAATTTTGTTATTTTATTAAAGTTGTTGCAGGTCAGATTTATTTATTAATTTATATTAAATTTTAAATTTTAAGACCATTTTAAGAAGCAGAGTGCAATAATCATCCAAGTTGGTAGCTTCAGCTAACAAAGAAAATCTCCCAAAAGTACAGTTGCTAATTTTGTAGGGGAAGCAAACTTTGAATTGTTCTCTGTCCAATCATTATTTTCAGTCTCGGTTTAAAACCTGGAGATGTGTCAATGAACTCTTAAGCTGCTGAGTCTGTCTTTATTTACCACATAAGCTGAATCAATAGCAACACTCATATTGACAAAGGATTGTTAACCAAGGAAAGTAAACAGCTGCTAATGTTATGATGACAATTGCTGTCTACATTTGCATAATATGTATTATGTTGTGTAATGTGTATTAATTTATGTAATATGCATTGTGTAATCAATGTGTAATCTGATTTTATCTTATAAAAATTTTGTATAATTTTCTGCAGTATGTATTATTTTGTGTGTATTATTTTATCAAATGCATAATATTTAAGATATATTTTGTGTCACATGTATTAGTTTATGAAATGTGTATTTTGTTCAATATGTATTATATCATATATGATACAATAAAATGTGTGTTATTTTGTGTAATATGCATTTTGCCAAATAGGTATTAGTGTAATATTTAATATTTTATGAAATGTATTTTTTGTGTAAAATGTATTTTGTGAAAGATCTATTAATTTGTTTAGTATGTATTAATTTATGTAATGTATATTGTATAATGTGTATTATTTTATGAAATATGTATTATTTTGTGTAATGTTTATCATTCTTAAGTATTTGATGGTAGATATGATATACAAATATATAACTGAATCAAAAAATGGCAAAAAATACCTTTGTGGGATATTTTGTCTTTATGATTAATATCTTCAGATTATTTATACTATTTATATTGTTCAAACCGTTATCCTCATCTTTGTTGCCATATTCACACAACTCCAGCCTTCTTCAGGTGATTGGAATTTCTAACTGAAGTAAATGGTTCAGTTCAAAATTCCAATCACCTGAAAAAGGCTGGAGCATACAATGGCTAAAATGTAATGAATATGGCAACAAAGATGAGGACAATAGACTGAACAATGTAAATAGTGTAAATAATTACAATACCTCATCTCAGAATCCTAGGCTCCACTCTATTCCTTATCTACATAAATGACCTTCCCGATGCCATAAATTCCCAAGTTGGCATCTACGCAGATGACACCACAATTTACTCCTGCCTCAAAAACAAATCTAGTGTCGCTAACAAAACTAACCTGGCCATGCGTCTCGAGAAGGACCTCCAATCGGTTGTGAACTGGGGCAGGAATTGGCTGGTCAACTTTAATGCCTCAAAAACAAAACTGCTCTCTATTAATCACCACAGAGATCCTTCCCTGCCCTCCATTAGAATGTCTGACACGCAATTTCTTAAGAGCGCCTCTCTGCGGCTGCTCGGTCTCATGTTGACTGCTGACCTGAGATGGAACAAATACATTGAGTCAATTGCTTTGTCCACTGCAAGGAAAGTTGGCTCCCTGTGCCGCACCAGGAAATTTTTCTCCCCGGAATCAATCCTTCAGATCTACAAATCAACAATTCACCCTTGCATGCAGTATTGCTGCCATATATGGTCTGGAGCCTCTTCTGTTTGCCTCAGGGTTCTTGATAGGCTCCAGAGGCGGATATGCAATATAATTGGCCATGTTCTAGCATCTCATCTACAGTCGCTCTCTCACAGACGCGCTGTCACCTCTCTCTGTCTTTTTTACAAATACTTTCATGGTAATTGCTCCGATGAGCTGCATTCGCTGGTTCCCAGAGTTCATGAGTTCAAGCGCCCTACGAGGCTGGCATCCCGCTCTTATCGTTTCACTGTTGAAACTCCTAAATGTAGCCGTCTCTTCTACTCCAATAGCTTCATGTCTACTTTCCTCTCTCGCCTGTGGAACTCCCTTCCCTATTCCAGTTTCCCCTGAGAGCTATAATCTCCAACTATTCAAATGTAATGTCAATCGACATCTTCAGTTGCCTTGATCTATCCACTATCCTTCTCCTCATCCTTTCCTCTATCACTCCTATCTGATCTTGCTCCAAATCTTCTGTAACCCCTTGCGTCCTAGTGGCTTCTCACCTTGCTTGGGGTGAAACGCTTCAAAAAAAAAATATATATATATATATATATATATATATATAAATATCTTCAGAATAATAATGGTTTTATTGATAGACTCAGTTTTATATGGGAAGAAGCTGTCCAAATGGAACTTACTTCCTACTATTGGAAATCCGAGGGAAATGGGGTTGATTCACTCTTGTGTATGTGACATAGGTGGGTCCCAGTGTGGAAAATAGTCCATCACCCACAAGGCCACATAGATGCTTTTGAACTCCATCAAGCCAGGTAAATGAGAACTGGGCAGCTCCAGATATTAATGTATATTAGTGTCAGCAATATACAGATTGTGGGTGAATGTCTGTGTATATATCTCCAAGTATAGGGTTGGAATAAAATTCCAATAACCAAAAACACTATTCTTAAAAGAGTGCTCAATACCAAGTAGAGCTAATGATATTTATTCAAATGTGTGTGTGTGTGTGTGTGTGTAAGAGGCTTGGAATCTATTAATTTCTTGGAAATTCATATGGATGCGTCATCTCTCTTTGAATTCAGAATGCCAAACATTGTACTAACGTTTGTTTAACAAGTCTAATGCACATAAAATATGATTAACCATTGAAAATCAAATAACACAAAAGTTAAAAATACCAGAATTTCTTTCTTTTTTTTTCTCTCACTCTCTGATGAAGCTTTAATAAAAGTGAAATATTTTAGATTGATAAATATTTCCTAATTGTTCTTTATCTTATCATATATATATATATATATATATATATATATATATATATATATATTCTTCTGGTATCTTATATCATGTGGAAACATTGGTTCCCATACCATCACCAAAGTTAAGCAACACTGAGCTTAGTCAGTACTTAGATAAGTGATCGCTTGGGAATACCAGATGCTGTAAGCTTGGATGTGCAGGTGGTGTAGTCAATAATGTCTCAAAATTGTTAATCATGGAGCTGAGTTCCAATTCCAGTCTGGTTAATTATATTCACTTATGCACAAATACCCTTGGGAAACATAAGAATCCACCTCTTCTCCCTCCAGCTATGGGTTAATTAGTAAGATTTGTATCACTAAACCATTATTATTTCAAAAAAAATATTCTTAGAATCTCAAAATATTTTCTGGCTTTGAATAATCAACCAGAGTTTGATAAGCTATAAAAAAATTAAGCAATTTTCCGGATTCTTGTTTCCAGTCAAATTTGATCTCCAAAAATTTAAATGCAATATCAATCATTATCATCTGTCTTCTTAATTCTTGTTCTTTTATTGTCCTCTCTCCTTAATAGTAGTTTTTCTCATATTCTCTAACACTCAGTAACCCCCCACTTTGCATATTAGTGACTTTATTGTCTTTGATTTACAAAAATTTAAATGTAATGTTAATCATTATCTTTTGTCTTCTTAATTCTTGTTCTTTTATTGTTCTCTCTTCTTTATATTTTTGTTTTCCTTGTATTCTTTCACACTCAGTAAACCCTTGTGTATTAGTGCCTTTATTACTTCACTTGGCTATATATATATATATATATATATATATATATATATATATATATATATATATGATCATTTTCTTTTTGTTAACTTTACTCATTCTGACTCATGGAAAGAACACCAGACAGCACCAGTATTTCTCATCCTGGATTACCAAAATCATCCTTTCAATGCTTTTAAGACTGAGTGCTTTTTATCCCATTCTCAGAAAACGGTGCCTTCTAGTCTGCAAATGCCTCTTATTTTGACAAACTAAGCCTATACTACCTATGCATTACATGCATATGGGTGATTATGGCTCTCCCCAACTTCTTGATTTTGGTTCAAATAAATAAGTTTTGTCTCCTGACTACCCTCTTTTTCTTTCTACCATTATTCAAACATATTAAGTTGATTATTCACTGTCCCTAGCTCCCAACTTCTTTTGCTTTCAATACAAGTTTCAAGCTAGAAGAACCATAAAATATTTTGCATGTCATATGATGGAACTGAATTGAATTCAAACCCTTACTATCCCCAACAAGTCCTGGGTCTGAGGATAAACTACATCTGGCAGCAAGATCTCTGATTGGGAGATTGAAAGTTTTGAGCAGCGGGGGAAACTAATGTTGTTCCCAGGTCCTCCCAGTGTGACAGTACCTGTTAGGGTCCCAGCTATAGGCAAATCTACTGCCTTCCTGATTATTCTTTCCTCTTCCCACTCATTATTAATGTTTTTGTTCCTAATTCTTCCATACCCTGTAACCCCTTTGTGTCTTAGTAGCTTTATTGCCTTGCATGGGGTGATACTGATTAAAAAAAAGTGAACCCCCAAACAAGTAAAATATAAAAATACATATTTATATAAAAATTACCAACAATACATTTTTAAAACCAAATGTCCAATAGTACATTTTATAGTTGAATTATCAAAAATATATTTTCTAGTAAAATGACCAACAATTCATTTTATCTGTAGGTGAAGGCATACAATTGCATTCAAAATATTTAGCTGAAGCCATAAAACTGTGTTCAAAATATTTAGATTTTGGCATTAAATAACCCATAGAGGTGTTGATATGCCACTAAAAGATCAACTATCCTCAGACCTCCTCTTCCTGATACTCATTTAAACCATATTTTTGTCTTTTATTATGTCGAACATGTTTTAATAAAATGTATTACTTGGAATGATTACTTCACTACTTATTTGATAATTTATTTAAAACAGTAAATTGATTAGTGTGTTACTTAAATGAGTTTTTAAAATCTTATAAAAGTAGGTTAAAAGCATTAAATCATCTATCAAAAACAGTTAAATGTAACTGCTTCTTCTACTCCAACAGCTTCTTATCTCGCACTTCCTGATAGTGGAACTCCTTTTCTCTTACATGCTTCCCTGATAACTATAGTCTTCAAAAACTTAAATGTAATGTCAATCAACATCTACTGTTGCCTTGATCCCCCGTTCTTTTTATTCTCCTCTGTTTTTTTTTTCTTTACCATTCCCTCAACCCTCGTTGTAGCCCCTTGTGTACAAGTGGTACTACTTACCTTGCTTGGGGTGAAATGCTTAAAAAAAAAAAAAAAAAAAAATTGATAGTACTATAAGTGACAGATGGCTATAGAAATTGATAGTACTATAAGTGACAGATGGATATAGAAATTGATAGTACTATAAGTGACAGATGGCTATAGAAAGGTACTGTTGATTATTTAGAGCTAACTTGTTTAAATAATGACCAGACTATTGTTTGCATCACATAGCAATAATTCTAAATAAAATGATGGACTAGAATAAGTAACCAAGTAATCGTTTTAAGTTCTCTGAATATCAGTGCTAATAAAAAATGTGTTGAATCAATTTCACTAACACACCACAAGATGAAATTAAGAGAGTGAAAAGCTGGATAAGTATGTGAACCTCTCCAGAAAACTGAAGTAGTTGTAGAATATGAAGGTAAAAGTAGTACCTATCAAAATGGGAGCACTGGAATCAATCCTTAAAATCTTCATGAAAAGGAAAATTTGTAAGAGAAGAAAGACCATCTAAACAATGGCATCATTATAAACAGCTAGAATACTGACAAAAGTGCTGCCGTGACTTACTGTCACCTGACCTTTATTCGTTCTTTTATTAAACCTATAAATATGTCAGATCACTTTGCCACACACTATATATTAAAGAGTATATTTATTTCCATCCATCTGCCTTAATATTTGAAAAATCTTATTAGAAAAATATATAGTCTCTGGAAAGATTTGAACCTGCGTTAGCCTAGGGAAAACTGTCATTAGATCTGATGTACTTTGACCCCTCGGTCACAAAGATCCTCTTGAATAGATCTTTCTTGATTCTCAAAGTATACATCTCTGCTCAGTTTTTTTATCCTAACATAAACAAAGACAATTTTTGGAAATGAATTTTTCATTTAATTGAAATATTTTAATTTATTGATTGAACATTATATAATGTTTATAAAAGCATTAAAATTAAATAATAAATGAAAAATCCATTCATATATATATATATATATATATATATATATATATATATATATATATATATATATTGTTGTGTCGGAAACCTACCACCTCTTGAAGATGAACTTGTCTGCGTCTGTGAACAAAGACTTTAATTAGTGGCATGTCAGTTGACATGGGGGGAAGACAGATAGACAGAGAAGTTCTTAGCTGAGCCAGTTATTGACTACTCAGGCGATTTCTGTACCTTTTACCAACCTATTAAAACCCTTTTTATTGTTACGTGTTATTTGGCGTTTGTCTCTACTAACCCCAAATCAACATCATATATATATATATATATATATATATATATATATATATATATATATGTAAGCAAATGTAAATGGATATAGATCCGACAGAATGAAGAAAAATTTGGAAAAAACAAACAAAAATTCTTAAATGCAATTATGTTGTTTAAAATGAATGAAATGTCGACGTCTGACGTTTCGGTTTAATAAACCTTTTTCAAGACAATATTCATTAAAAAAACAATTCAGTTCAATTTGACAAAGACGATGGACATAAACAACAAGTCTTATCCAAAACAGATAACTGAAAATTTTTAAAATGATCAGCTTTCCCTTTAGCATGGTCACGTTGTCGTCACATGGGCGACGCTTTCAAAACGTATTCCTAAAAATTTTTTGATTATTTTGAATGAAAAAGAAAATGAAAAGAATTCTATTAGGATCTAAAATTTTTATGTGTATGCTTGTCGAGCATTAATCTCGCTAAAAAAGGGGAAATATTAAAGAAACCAGGTCTAGTATTCACTTCATTTATGAAGTAGATATAATATCCATCTCACGCACGGTGAATACTAGACCTGGTTAAAAATTTTTGTCATAGATAATTTATTTGTTTGGGTAAGCTGGGGTAGTATATTTCTTTATGATAACAAGTAAAGAAAAATTAAATAAAAAGCTTAATTGCAGTACTTTGTCTGTTGTCTTTAATGGAATATATATATATATATATATATATATATATATATATATATATATATAAATTAGGCTGATGAAAGAAATTTGAAAGATAAAAACCAACAAAAATAATAATATTGATATTAAAACTAATAATATTTATTGTATATTCCGAGGCCTTTTGACCAAATAGAAGCATGATGAGAAAGATTTTTAAAATCAGAATTTTCCAACACGTATGTGCTCTATCTTATCAAGAAATGAAAAATGGAGTCGAACTTTTGGCAGGGGGGATTTTTTCCGCATATGTTATATTACTGATGAAATTTAGTAGTTTGGTGCTAAACCATCCCCAAAATCTGACTTTGTTTTTTTATTTCATGTTGAGAAAGGATACGTGTTTTGTTGTTTATTTCATCTCTAAAATTTCTTTCATCAGCCTACTATATCTAATTATAATTACTCATGCCATAAAGATGCCTTCCAAAAACTAAGCAAAGTATTAAAAAACACATCAATTTCATCAGAAACAAAGAAAAGAGTACTGAACCGTTATGTAATATCAGTCCTCCTGTATGGTAGTGAATACTAGACAATCTCCTCACAGACAAAGAGGAGACTTGAAGCAGCAGAAATACTTGAAGCTACAGGAGGATGCTGAGGATACCATGAACCAAACATGTAACCAATGACAAAGTTTTAAAGAAAATAGGAAACAAAAAGGAAACATATACTTGACATGAGGAAGTGATAGTTGGGCACATAATGAGGACAGAGGGCTTGGGAAAACTGATACTCACAGGACAGATTAAAGTAAAAAAAGGACAGAAGAAAACAGTACATAACATACTGAGAAAGCTTGAGTAAATTGATGGCAGAACAAAGTTTAGGAGAGATAACAAAAAGACAAAATTTATTAAGAGCTACAAAGGACAGGAAATTGTGGAGAGCCATGATTGTCTGTGTCCTGAATGG